TCCCTCTGTTTTTCTGTTCTGTTTTCGTACTGAAAATGTTCAAAGATTGTGAATGTGTGATTTGAAATTTGATGTTGCATCTTGTTATGAAGAAAATTAAGAAGTGGTAGATTTGTGTATGTTCTGTACCTGAACTATTCAAGACTGCTAAGCCGCTGTTCTTCTACCTGTGTAATAATTAATATAGTATTTTTATGTTTTAAGTATTATGATCAAAAGCTGTCTTATTTGGTACCTCCCAGTTCGCCAGCGCCCCCCTGAGCCCTGCTCTGGACCCCGGGGGGCGCTGGACTCAGTCCAATGCTAATAACTTTTTAATTATTTTTTTATTTCTTTGTGTGATCTAATATAAATGATGCATCATTATGGAAAAATGATTCTGGTATTAACGTCATTTCTTAATGAAAAGGGATATAATTTCAAAATGTCTAATGGTGTTTGTTTCTTTTCCTTATGTGTACAGTTAACAATGTATTAAAACAAATCCAGACTACATTTGTGTACTGCTAGAGATGATTGTGTGAAAAAATAATGTGACTTTTGTTGTATTCTGATTCTTGGTGTTGAAAAGTTTAGATGCATAGAAATAGATATATAGGCCAACTGTTTGTTCTCATGTTTTATAAGCAGAAAATATATATTTTCTATAGTTAATTGCAAGTTCTCGCATTCAAATAAATGTTCCGCAAGCCTCCCTTGTGGCTGACTAAAACTATTGGTACAAGTTCTTAATGGTAGCTGCAGCACTTTTCCACTGCTACACTTTACAATCACTTATATCATAGTTTTAACATTTAAGAAGGTGCATTTTATTAAAACATAGCTGCCAAAACAGAACAGCAAATGATTTCAAAAATATTAACAAGTACGCAATTGTTTCTGATTTGAGGGTCAAATCAAAAAGTGTTAAAATATGAGCATTTTTATGTAAAGTAGAATAATTTTTTCTTAAGACATATCAGAAACAAATCAGATTTTCTTCCTTACACCTGACTTTATTGGGATTTTGTTTATGTGCACAGTCTTTATTTCTCATTTGCATCATATCTGGGCCTGTTAAGTCAAACATCAGGTGGGGTTATTGACCCTATGAGTGTTTAAAGATGACCCTCTCATTCTTTTCAAACAGGATGGTGTTGCAAGTTGTGGCCACCAGACTTTGGTTTGTTCCTCTGTATCATCTCATGTCTCATTTAAATCTCTGCCTTGCTCAATTTCCTTCTCTTCAACATCTCATCGCTCCCTAAAAAAAACCTGTAACATTTCCATGTTGCCATCCTTGCACATGTTAACTGTCCAGCAGCAGCACGTCATCCCTCAGCCCTCCCCCCCCCTCTCTCTTTCAGCTTTGTCACTGCACATCTTTGCTCTCAGCGGGGGGGCTCCTGCCACAGTGGACCCTGGCGGCCCCATACCGTCAGCTGCATTGATGCGCTGCAGCTGTTTCCAAATCCAGCCCTTGATTTTGATCCTCTTCCTTTTTTAGCGCATCGTCCCGCAGGACACTCCTGACCCGGGGGTCCTCTGTGGCCGTCTGATGATTTAGTCGTTCCATGATCAGACTGATGTGGAGAGAGGTAACATTAATATTTATATAGACCACTCTTGGACACTTTATTTCTCCTTTTTCAAGCTGCAGAAATTGAACCCTCCAAATAAACAGGCATTTGCTGTAGGAGGTGTGTTTAGTGTGTGTCCCCTTCATTATGGACAGAGGAACAAGAAAACATATTTTGGTTCAGATTTTAAAACCATTTTTCAACATGTGCATTTTTGACTTTCCTATAAGCTACAAAACAATGTAATTAACGACATCTGTTTAAAAAAAATTGCAAAGACATCAAAGTACAATATTATACACTTTAAAAAACTTACAGCACATTTATTTCCACATTAAAATGGATACATTGCAGTTTCTGTGTGCGTACACTTTACTGTAAATCTGAGCGAAAGGTTGCACTTTATCTACATTTTTGTATTAATACATAACAGACTGTAATTATTTATGAAACTTTAAATAGCTGCATTCATCCAACACTAATCCTGTTATTTTACTAAAGTTGGATTTGAAATGCAAGACTTGTATTTTTTACTTGAAGTTTCCAACACTGAGGCCTGTAGGTTAAATCACTCTTTAAAAATGTGAATCAATCTTTATAGTCATGAATGGTTTTCTCTGAGTCTTATTGATCTGTTTGTATTGTCTGTAGCACAGGAGAAGTATTCACATCTTAAAAGCAGATATTTTAATAGAGGTAGTACAAAAAGTCCTGCATCAAGTACAAAAGTGTAAGCATCAAAATCTAATAAAAGTATACAAAAAAAGTTAATTTCAGAATAATTTATGTGATTGTGATTTATATTAATATTCATGTGCAAATATCACTAATGTTGCAGCTCATAAAGGTCAACTAATTGAAATGTATAACATGAAATCATGATTTATTAGCTGATTATTTGTATTATTTATATTTTGAATTGGCAAAGTAAGTAGTTGGATAATTGAGGAGAGACATATACGGTTAATATAAAATAAAATGTTAAATAAATGACATGTTCCTCAGATTTGTCCATAAACACAGTACTCACACAGAATGAAATGCATGTGGAGTGAGATGTTCGTGCACTGAGTTATAATGTTTATAATGCAGAGGATGAATCCGTTTTTGTATTCAATATTTAAGGCTTAACAATTTTAAAACGTTTTTCTTGCTGTGTAAATTAAGGTACACAGCTCCCTCAAATCAGGCAGGTGTCCCTTCTCTCCAACAACAGAGGGGGGAGGAAAGGCTCTTTTGGGGGGGGNGGGGACTTCCAGCACCTCACTCACCTTTGCAACAGATGAGCTGATCCTGCACAGTGAAGGACACCTTAATCTGCTTTTAATGAGTGTGTGTGTGTGTGTGTGTGTGTGTGTGTGTGTGTGTGTGTGTGCGCGTGCGCGCGCGCTCGCATGCGTGCTTCACTGATCCATAATGTGACAAAGACTATTTTTTTGCCACGTGTTTAATGTTTTCATGTTTTTTTTATACTTTAAAAAAAAGAAAATGGTGTTACTTTATTATTTCTAAAGCGTCACAAACTTTATTTTTTTAAAGCAAAATCTCAAGATAATCTCAGATTTGTATTTAGTTATTTTGAATTTTATATTCAAAGCCGTCTTTTATTGTCAGTTATTTGGTCATTAAAGCTTAAACGTTCACATGTATTATTTAAACATGACCGAGTCTTTTTTCTCCCTTTATTATTCTCCCCTGATAAGCGTTAAATTCTCCTTTTTATCTACAAACAAATGATTTTCTTTGATAGGTTTCCCACAAGCTCTTTGAAATAAAACAATTACCGCATTCTTTGTGCAATAATTGTCAATCATCCACATTAAATTGATAAGCTTTAAATGGACAGAATAATAGCTTAAATAGTTTTACAATGGAACAGCTAAGCAGGATGATTTGCTATTGCTGACATGCCCGCGGCTTTACCAGCTCCACATAATGCCATAGGTTAATGCATAAATAAGCAAATCAAATCCATGCGTTACCCCAATTCAATTCATTTAATTCCTCTTTAATAAAGAAGCGGCCCCACCCCCTGTCCCCCGCCATTTACCTCGGATTTGTGCGATGAATGCTATAAATGTAAATCAATCTAGATGAGAAAGAATCCCATTGAAAGAGCAGAGAAATTTCATCTGGGAAAAGGAGACAAATGTAGGAGGGGCCCGCTCATAAAAAGCAGCTGTTTCACAGTAATCTTTTTTCGTGCCCTGTCACTCACCTTGCCTTTTCACTATCTCCCCAGCTCAAAAAACCCCTCCGCTATTGTATTTAGTTGCCATATCTTCTTTCCCATTACATTATAATCCATATTCGTCCAGAGAGGGAGAAAGAAAGAGAGAGCACAACTTGCCCATTTCTCGGACAATCCCCTTGTAGTTGTTGGAGTGAAAAGAGGAGTGCATGGATGTCAAATTGCCCTCAAAACACCATGAAAGATTGATTTGCAGCACTTTTCAGGGGCCTGACATTACTTGGAGGGGAGCTGAATAGGGAACCTGTGAGCCGGGGATGGAATAAAGATGTCCTCTCTGCTGGAAAAGAAGCAAAACTGCCCATTTAGCCCCAGTCCATCAAGCCCGAAAAATAGGCAAGAGAGGAAAAAACACAGAAGACTGTGACTATAGAGAAGAAAAGGGCCGTATATACTCATCTAAACGTTGTCACAATACCGAGGGGGCTCCGAACATCCATGAATATTAAACCGCTTACCTCAACAAGGGCTTGAAAAAGTGAACCACGTCAAAGCAGCTTTGCATTTTTTGCTTGCGAACAATGCTGTAAGAAAAAACTCCACGTCGAGCTTGTTTCTATTCTTGTTATTCCCGCGCTAACTCCTCACAAAAAAATAATAATATTACCACCACATGAATACCAAATGCATGAGAAAAAAATGGGTGAGCAACTCCCAGACTCAATTACCCACTTCTGCGGGCAGAACAACTTAAACCATCAATTAAACTTTCAGAAAACCTGCTTTTATAATCTTCTGAAACTTTGTTATTTTAAAATGTTGTACAAGTTTTTTAATTCATATTCCATATATGAGCAACCTGTTGGTTTTTTTTGCACTATGATCTATTTTTGCAACACTAGGCTTTTTTTTTAGCACTAAACTTTACATTTTCTGATCTTAAACATAATTTAAAACGCATTTATTATCATTTTACGCAATTATGATACATTTGCAGCTATCAAAAAAACCTCGCTTTAATTTAAATGATTATGCATTAAGTGCAGACAATGACTAAAATAACGTGTGGCCCCTCTTATTGGTTGTCTGCTGTGTGTTTCAGTGTCTCTGCATGGTGCGCTGCAGCGGGCAGGTCCTCCTGGTGATGGGTGTGTCATTAATAAGTAATTAGACAGGGGTCACACCAGCCACTTATATAAAGGGACCCTCACAGCCTGCAGGGCAGCTCTACGCACAGACAGTCTGCAGCACAAGGACGCACTGAGGAGCAGCTCTCAGTGTCCAACTCTTCTCCTATACTCCTTTTGCTTCTTTTTCTCCACTTGCAGCTGTTTTTATTTTAGGGGGCTTTCTTTTTTGATTTGCAACATGGGCTCCGTATTACCCGCAGACGCTTTGGCACTCAAGTCTGGATTTAAGTGTCCTAGCCGCTCGCTGTCAGACGTTATCACCTCGGACATCCTGCACAGCTTCCTGTACGGCAGGTGGAGGAACGTGCTGGGAGAACACCTGGCGGAGGAGCGGCACAGCAGCAGCCCCAAGACCGCGTTCACCGCCGAGGTGCTGGCACAGTCCTTCGTCGGAGGTAGGCTGACATTCTGCTTTATTATGGGGCTATTTTCATACATGTAAATTCTGTTGTATCATACTGTTGTGCATGTTTGGGCCTTTTAATTGCATGTTTGCTGCCTAATTTAAGCATATATATTTTTTTCATTTAATGTGTTTTTTATGGAAATAAAAAATATGATTTAATTTTTTCTTTTTTTGTGTCCCCTGCAATTTCCGAAAAAGTGAATCACTGAACTCCATAAGGACTTTTTTTGTAATTACAATTACAGCCACATTTGTTTTTTTCCCCCATTTAATAATAATAATTGAACTTCAAAAAAATCCCACATCCTGCAGAGACACTAAAATAAACTTCCCTTTCTGTCCCAAACATTTATTAACCAAAGTTTTTCCCACTAACTTGTTGCTGCTTTTCTGCATTTTCTCTCAGTTTACTGCTTTTATTTCGACCCATTAAACGCGTTAACCCTATAGAGCTCTGCTCCTCGCGTTTAGAGGCTTGTTAGGCGTGTAACTGCCGCTGATTGAAAGACGCAGGGCATTAAATTCATTTGGTTAACTTTGTGCTTGACCTGGGAAAGTTTCCACTTAAACCTCGAGGAGAGAAAGGTTTCTTTTCTTTGAGATGTCCCGGGTTTTTATCCCGCATTCATCAATCTCCGGACAGTCTCTTTTCCTCTCTTGGCAGCTATGGGGCTCCGGAGCTTTTCTCTTTCTCTCTCCTTAAAAGATTTGCTGTTCCTCGCATAATGCACCGTGAAGGCTAAATCTAATGCTATTCATTGCATGTCAACCATCTAATCGCCTTTCCATTTTTTTGTTGCCGACATTCCTGAGTCTTTTAAACAAGTCCTAGTTTCTTTCAGCGCAAATTTATTGCTACAAAGTTCTTAAAAGGATAATGAATTTGGAATTAGCCGTTTCTTTTCCAGTAAACTTTAATGAATATCACATCTGAAGCATGACAAATTGTTGGACCCTGGGCAATAGAGGACCATTTAACCCCTGCTCGGCTCGGCTCACAGAAAAAAAATCTTTGATTTTGACATTAAAGAACCGCACGGTTTTTTCTTTTCTCCCTTTCTGGTGCGGATGAAAATGCTTTCCTATGGAGTTTTTCTGCACAACAAAAAGTTTCAATTCAACCAGATAATCGAATTAAACGGAGGATAAGGTGTAGCTTAATATTTCGTGACTAAAATAAGATCCAGTCCATTTTCTGCTTTCAGGACTTTTTCAGCAATCCTGTTTCATGAGATCCTGCTGAACAGTTTAGTCTCCTGGAGCTGCATTTTTGCGCAGTATTACTCGGGCATTAAAACAGATATAATGTTTTCTGACATGTTTCCCTTTTGCATGCTAACCTTTCTTCTTTCTTCTTTGTGCAGAGGTGCAGAAGCTGTCCAGCCTGGTGCTGCCCAGTGAGGTGATCATCGCGCAGAGCTCCATCCCAGGAGAGGGTCTGGGCATCTTCTCAAAGACCTGGATCAAAGCAGGGGCCGAGATGGGCCCGTTCACAGGGAGGGTCATATCTCCGGAGCACGTGGACCTGCTCAAGAATAACAACCTCATGTGGGAGGTGAGCAGAGAATAATGTTTTTTAATGATCCCATTTTTTAAATGGATGAATATGAGCAGAGCAATTGTCCCAACAGTGTTCAAGATTCAATCTTTTTCAGTTCAGTATAAAATCATCCAGCCAAACTTAGTTTTTATTGTATTCATTAATATTTGTTGATATTTATTTTCTTTAAAAAAAAATGGTTTCAGTAACTTAGTTTCAATTTATTTAATTTCATCCTGGAAAATAAAACATGTAGGTCCTATGTATCTTAGGCCGAGCAAAGCACAGGGGGGTCCAAGCACAGTGTTAGACCGTCCATGATCCGGAGTCTGTGTTTTATTACTTCCGCCTTATGTTGACGCTGTTTTCCTCGCTGTTGTGCGCCCAGGTGTTCAATGAAGACGGCACGGTGCGCTACTTCATCGATGCCAGTCAGGAGGACCAACGCAGCTGGATGACTTACATAAAGTGCGCAAGGAATGAGCAGGAGCAAAACCTGGAGGTGGTGCAGATCGGCAGCAGCATCTTCTACAAGGCAGTGGAGGTGAGAATAGACTTTAATTCTGTTGATCTATAAACAAGGACTCGGCCCTGTGGCGACTGAATAGGTTTTATTGACAACCAACAAGTATGTAAATATCTTTTAGAGCAGCGCCGCCTGTTGGCCCAAATGAAAATGGATTATGTGATTTCTGTAGTTTGGCATCTTTGGTCGTATGGTTGCACCAGAGAAGCAACTTTAAATCACATATTTATTGGCTGACCTTTTTCCCTGTTTTTCTCAGACTATCCCACCGGACCAGGAGCTTCTTGTCTGGTACGGAAACACCCTCAACACATTCCTTGGAATCCCTGGAGTTCCGGGAATAGATGAGGAACACCTGAAGAAAGCCAGAGGTGAGTCATTTGATGTAACAATGTTAAGGGTTACAGCTTTTTGTATCTGTTCATGGTCAACATAGGCTACATGAGCCAGTTTATATCATTGTGGTTAGGTTCTGATACATTGCTTTTATTATTTCTTAGATTAAAAACACACGGATAGATAGATAGATAGATAGATAGATAGATATAGATATAGATAGATAGATTTATTTATCCGAAGTTGGGAAATAGTTTTTTCACAACAGCATTTTGACAATCACTTATAATAAAAAAAGTAAGAAAAACACATTTTAAATGTAAAAACTAAAAACAGATATTTTTTTCAGAAGAAAATATATTCAAGAGAGTATCTACACACTATAAAATATACAGAATAAAATAGAAAATAAAACACTGTAACTAAGCAGCCCAAATCTGAGCCAAACTTTAAACTAATCCTCCCCCCTTTGTGTCTCCTCTCTCAGATGAGGCCCACCCCTGTGACGGCCCTGCCTCGTGCTCCCCTCCAGCCCTTACCACCACAGTAGGTCGCATGCGCTGCGTCATCTGCCACCGTGGCTTCAACTCCCGCAGCAACCTGCGCTCTCACATGCGCATTCACACGCTAGACAAGCCCTTCGTCTGCCGCTTCTGCAACCGCCGCTTCAGCCAGTCCTCCACGCTCCGGAACCACGTGCGCCTGCACACCGGCGAGCGGCCCTACAAGTGCCACGTGTGTCAGAGCGCGTACTCCCAGCTGGCAGGCCTCAGGGCGCACCAGAAGAGCGCGCGGCATAAACCGATGGCACACGCGGCAGAGATGGCATCCAAAGTGTCCCCCCCTCCCCAGCAGATGTCGGTCATGTCCCACCAGCACCAGATGCCCCCCATGGTGCACCACATCCCCACCATGGTGCTATGATGACAGGAACATGGAGGGGACAGACAGGCAACGCTGCACTTTAGACGAGGGGAGAAGTAAAGGACCCGGATGATGAGACAGGCCTTCATAAGGAACTGAACTGATGTGATAAAGCATCTCACAAAGACATTAATATGTTGCCTTTTTGTATTGCTTATAGTGATGATGCTGAAGTGCAACTCTAAAGATTTTTCAAAACATGTTGTTTACTGTGTAATCTTTAAACAAAGTGTCATATATCACTGTCATATTTACACTGTGTTTATTCTGCGTCACATCCTCACCAGCTCAGGTGAAACACAGTCAGAGGTTTGTACAGCGAGTAGAATCCAGTGTACATTGTTTCAGCCGCATCCACACACTGTAAACTGAGATTGTCACTTTAAACTTGCACAGACTGTATACTATACTGTTGTGTAATCGTACGATTGTATAGTATGCTACTGTACATGTGAATGTAAATACATTTGTGCTCCCTTCTATTCTAAATAAATATGATATGATATTACAACATTTTGTTTACTTCTCTTTCATGTGGTTGACAGTGATTTATCTGATATTCTGAACAATCTGTGCTTATTGTATTAGCTTTAAAGTGTCTTTACTGTAGGCTATTTTTATTATATGCACACTTGGCTCGACCAAAAATCGTTTATAAATGTGCTATATAAATAAAACTTGATTTGATTTGATTTATAATAGTATGAGATGAACAAAATATAGCTGTCCATAATATAGCATAGTGTAGTTTAATTAAATGCACTTTCAAAGATAAAATACCATTTAAGAGGAAAGAGTCCATCACTTAAACACTTCTTTTATAAGTGCACTTTTTGACATGAAACAATCATTCTGAATGATTGTAATTCTGAATGTATTAACCCTATAGAGTGGCAACTTGTCCTGTACAGAAGTGATTTCTCGAAATTAAATGTTAACCTTATTTTTGGCAGGTGTTGTTATGTTATGCTGAGTCTTGGTGCATGTGTTTTTAATGTATTTATTAAACTGTAAAATGGCCCAAAGACTATAAACAGATAGACATAAAGACTATTTTACTTCCAGCTTAAAACATTTAATTGATAATAAGGGAAAGCATTTTTTGAAATATATGTCTATCATCGTTTTTTCTTAAATGTGTTTTTTTTATCATACACTTTATGAGCAGTTGTAAATGGTGGACCATATTGTGTACTCCAACTTAGTGATTTAGTAAGTTCCGTATTATGAGCTAGTGAGTGAAAACATGTTTTGAATATTATTCAAATATAACATCTTATTATTAAATGAACCAGTTTTCTGTCTCTCTTCAGGCAACAGGTAGTTGCAGATCCTTTTTCTTCCACACGATAGCGCCAGATACCCAGGAAAAAATAGTCTTGAGCGAAAAGTGTGCTTTTCCTGCAGAATCAATGTACGGACACTTTAATAACACATAATGTTTATATTGATACATGATCTTTACAACCATTTATTTATGTGACTGGATGTATTTTCTGTGCTGACCACATTGCATTTCTCCCATATAAATGTTGTGTACATACAGTACATGTTAACCTTTGAGCCACTGCTGAACTTGTCTGCTGTCAGACATTACCCAACTTCCCAACAAGGAGTTTTCAGGACAAGTCATCATTAAAACAAGAACAGAGCAACACAGATCAACATGCTGCAAATACTGTATATACATTTAATAAATAAATAAAATGGAGGACAACGGTGGGCTTCTCCTCTGCCCAGAGGGATTAGGAAGGATTTTGACTGGATGTTTTTCCATCACTGGAGACTGTCCACACGTTCTGCTCATCACCTTGAAGAACACCAGACAGTTTAGACCATCTACATGAATACTTATTTCAAAAATGGTACCATATCACCCAAACTAAAAGCACCTTTATCCTGGTATAGACATCCTGCTGTAGTCCTGTCCTTCTTTGGAGAACCACAGCAAGAAGCTACCATCTCAGAGGCATTGCGCAGAACTGAAGGAAGACAATGTGTAGCAGACATTAATTATTCTTTTATCTGTTTGTAGTATCCGCCACACTGCTGGTGAGATGATGTTGTGGCAGGTAACCTGACTCCACCCCTATCAGGTTAAACATGCTCCATTTTACTATAGCATACTATGTTTGTTTAGGTTATTCATTGATTCAAAGATGTATAGTCTTCTTTGTCAAATGCACATCAGTTAGTGTAGTTGGAAATGCAAACATTAAATCCCAGGCTCCTCCAACAATTTTAACTAAAGTGAAGACATCAAAAATAAATAAAAAATTGCGAGAGACATAATGTTGAAAGTAAAGTGCAGAGGATTAAAATCTAAAATAGAGTAAGATTAAAAAAGAGGAATTAAGGCTTTATTCAAATGGTTCCTCACCAAAATAATAATGCTGTATATGTATCTCATCACAAAGAATTTCTTTTAGGAAGCATGTTGCCATAAAATTGTATTATGATGTTTTAATACTCACCGGAGAACAGCAGTCATAGCATGGCTCCACGTTGTGTTATTCCTTACCAGTGTGTCTTGAAGTCATCTGCTTCCTTGTGGTCAGTGTAATGATGTGTCTGCACTGACATGCACTATAAGACAATGACACAGCATTTCTGCCCCACACTGGTACTCAAGGTCACCACATAGATACAGGAAGTATAGTATTACTTATGTTTCCCTTGCACATTCACTTCAAAGACATGACAATGAGGAATAAAGGAGGTAATGCACTGGCAGTAAGATAAGAACAGACAATGATGAGGGATCTTTTCATCCTAAGTGTAACACAAATAACAAGTCATATGTCTATCATGAGCATTTGGTTGTGATAACAACTGCAATCAAGGTACAAAGACTGGGAAGTATTGTATGTTTTATTAGATATATGAAGTGACAAAATGATTGTGTCATTTTAAAGTCAAAAATAAAGTATGGGCTTCTTATTTCTCAATTTGTAATCTTCACCATTTCCAGATAAAGCTAAGAGGTTGTAAAAATAAAGGAAACAAATGTCATTTTTTCAAAATGTGAAGAATAAGTGGTCCTTGGTCTTGGAATGACCTTCAATCACCCCTCAAACTGACGGCACTTGTCTCGATAGCATGTTTTAAATTGAAGTCTGAAATCCTTACCACCAGCTGCTCTTGCAGTAATAAGTAGTGCACCTTTCTTACTGTCCTAATGTGCACAATGTAGTTACTGCTTTTTCTTAGCTATGTTATCTGTATTTTATATGTTTGTGTTATGTGTAACGTTGCTGCCTTCTTGGTCAGGTCAGCATTGCAAATGAGATATTATCTCAATGTTTTTATCTGGTTAAATAAAAAATAAAATAATAAGTTAGGAAATGAACAGAGGTAAACAATACTCGGATATTTAAGGTAGAAGTAACAATACCACAGTTAGTCATGCTATACCATTTGGAAGAATGTATTGTATTTACATCAAAGTAAACCTTTTTTTCTTTCAGAATGATTAATTTCAGAGCAGCATATTAGCCTATATTATTGGATGATGATGATTAATGCATGTACATCACTTTAGTGTTGCAGCTGGTAAAGGTGAAGCCAGTTTTTAATGATTTAAACATGTGCAATATTTGCTTCTGAGACGTAGAGGTGTTGAAGTATTTAGTAAGCTTCACGTTTCATAAACAATGTCAGGGTAAGGGCTTAATGGTTTCATAGAGCAGTATGAAAATCAGGAAATACTTTAATATAGACATTGTAATAAAACAAGTTAAGTTAAATATAATAACGACAATGTTGTTGTTATTTTTTTAGTAAAGAAATACAAAAAATGGACAAAATAAATAATGAATAGAAAATAAAAAAACTAGCAAAAGGACAACATAATGAGAAATAATCTTCCAGAAGGATTGCACACTGTTCTATTCTTTTCTAAAACGGTAGTAAATCAGGGATAGATTGATTTGGCCTTGTTGGCGCGATGATGTTGTGATCTGTCGGTAGAGTCTGATTCCGGTCGATTCACCGCTGCTGTGGAGGATTGTTGTCATTTTTCTGTGGCTAGCCTTTACTGCTAGCTATCCGTTTGATTTCTCTCCAACATACTTTGTTCCAGCAGGTGGGTCATAGTTTATGTCAACAACTTTGTACTGAGCCAAGCTTATTTACAACTGCAAAGAAAGCATCTGTTTGTGAAAGTAACCGCGAGTTCCCAGAAATAAATGTCGTAGTTATAAGTTGAAAACAAATGTCAGCTAACAGCTAGTTAGCTAGCTTAGCTTAACTTTAGCTGGATTGACATTTCTGGTTAGCATAGCTATACATTAATCTGTTCACGGATTTTGCTGAACAAACAGAATGGCAGCTAAATGTCAGATTTGTAGCTAGTTAATGTGTCGTAGGACAGTATGAATGCCGGGCAGTTTATTATCAGTGTAAACACAGTAACTTGTTAGGAGTTTTACGCACAGTGAAAGCAAATGTCCATGTTAGGTCATCTTCAAACGACGGGTTGTTTATCCAGAGAAGAGCTGCATTCATTTAGAAGGAGGAAGACGACAGTACTGGTTGATTGTGATTAAGTGTATTAGCTTGAAACCCCTTTTTTTTAGCTCGTTATTGAGGAAATGCCACGCTAGCATGGCTCGGTCCCATTCTGCTTTTGTACATAAACGCCTTCTTTATGCTTCCCTTTTTCTATCAATCAATCAATCAATCAATGTTTATTTATATAGCCCAATATCATAAATGTTACATTTGTCTCAGTGGACTTCACAGTTCGTACAGAATATCAGTATGACAATACGACACTCTGTCCTTAGACCCTCACATCCTACAAGGAAAAACTTCCGGAGAAAACCCACAGTTTGAAGGGGAAAATGGGAGAAACCTCAGGGAGAGCAACAGAGGAGGGATCCCTCTCCCATGACGGACAGACATGCAATAGATGCCGTGTGTAAATTGAAAATATAATAAATGTGCAACATAGGCAGCTCTGAGTAAAAAATTACACGGTAAGAGGCCATTATGGAGTATCTGTAAATGTACTGACTTGCCAAACATGATGGTGATAGCTTTATCGAGCTGCTCTGACAGCAGGAGAACTGTTTGGCTGAACACAGATCAGTGCTGGCTTTGTATTGTAACACAAACCAGAGGGACAGCTCCCAGCTGCCAGGCTCAAATTAGTCTCCTGAGAGGGGGAGGGGGCTGCAGTTATTTAAGGGTGCAGTGGGCAAAATAATATGAAAATGATTATACCTATGCTATGCAGTTTCAGAGTTTCTCTTCTCAATTCTTTCCTCAGTTTATAGTAGTTCTGCAAAAAAATTTTTTAAATCGATTATATGGAAATCAGAAGATTCTACATCTTCCAGATAAGAAGTTTTCAATCGTTCATTCAGACATGTACCCCTTACAATATCCACGAGTATTCTGGGGACCCCCTTCTTGTTTGTACCTTGGAATAATTTGATATAGGTTTTTATAAATACTTATACCACTTATACAAAAAAAGGAAAAACATGTATTTATAACATGACATTTGAAATAAATCAACACATTTTTGTTATTTTTAAGATATCAAATACATATCTGGCTGAGTTTTTAAGTAAAATATTACACAAACATCTACAAATGTTTAATTGAATTGAATGTTAAAGCAATAAAACTTAATATTTTTGAACAAGGTGTGTGTGTGTGTGTGTGTGTGTGTGTGTGTGTGTGGTTCACAGGATGTTAGGATGGAGTGTGGGCCAGTTCTGCCGGACAGCCTGGTGTTGGAGATCTTCCTGCGTCTGCCCCATGAAGCCGTGCTGAGCGCTGGTCTGGTCTGCAGACAGTGGCTGGCCGTCTCCAGAGATGAGTTCCTGTGGAGGGAGCTGTTCTACAGCTTCTACCGCATACCTCGCTCTGTACCTCGACACCCAGGTAAATAATCAAAGTCACTGAAGAAGTCAAAACAAAAGTCACTGAGAACAGCTTCGTTGATCAATTCTTGGACTGTTTACAACTTTAAATATCCCCTTATCTTCCTTTGCTCAGCATCGGTGTCATGGTACAGGGAGTTCAAGCGTTTGTTTGACTGCATCCCCTGTGTGGAGGTTCAGACGCTGGTAGAGCACACTGACCAAGTCCTCCACCTGGCCTTCTCTCACCGGGGTCACCGCTTCTCCTCCTGCTCCAAAGACTGCACCGTTAAGGTAGGCATTAAACCATTATTCAGGTTACTTTTATTGCAAATCTTATTTTCTGGATTATTTGAAGGATAAACATCCCCTCTCTTTTCTTTCTTATCCTGTCCTCTGGCTTCCTGTGTGCAGCTATGGGACACAGAGCGGCCAGATGGAAATATCTCCATGGTGCACAGCTCCAGCATGCGGCAATTCAACTGGGGCTACACCCAGTTCTCCCAGTTCAATGCTGACGATACCCTGCTGCTGGTGTCCGGGGTCTACCTGGGTCCCCACCACTCCTCGTCTGGGGAAATAGCTGTCATTAGTCTGGGTAAGTACAACGGAAATACCAAAACAGTCATGCCTCGTCATTTTCTGTTGAAGTACATCTTTTATTTTTTCCCAATCATTAGTGGTAGTCTCTCCTGACCTTGTGCTTCTCCTTCTCCTCATGTCTCTTAACACACAGATAATTACACGTTGCTGTCGCGTGTGAGGAACAAGCCGTACGATGTGTTTGGCTGCTGGCTGAATGAGACCCATCTAATCTCTGGGAACCTGCACTGGATCGGCAACATGACGTCCTGCTCCGTGCTCTGGCTCAACAAAGCCTTCCAGGTGAGAACAGCAGCTACTGTCAGACACGTGAAGAAGATGAAGAATTACAGGAAAATAGTTTGGCTTGTATTTTGTGGCTGGATAATGTGATTTTGTAATTTTCTAGAGCAACTTAAAAAGCGTCACACGTTTCTCTGACACATGCTGCAATTGGTGTCTTTTTCCCACTGTTGCAAACAACATTGAATAGATATAATATTACAAATTATAAAAAATGTGGTCCTTTTTGAAACATTTCTGCTGTTTTGGTTTAACTAAGAAGCTCACCGGTTTGAAAATAAAGAAGTATGTCTTCATTCTTGAATTAAAGTGGACCTATCATGCTATATTTGAAACATATATTGGAGGGCCATACCTACGGTGGCCCTGAAGTGCAAGACACCACAGCATTTCAGAAAACAACACAGCATTTCACAAAACACAACAGCATTTCACATTGGACGGAAAGGGTATTCCTTTAGGGAGAACACTTCTTGTTTATGATTGGACAGAGCCAGCCAGAGAAGCACTGCTGTGATTGGTTGTTTTTGCTGCCAGTCAAGAAATGAAGCTTCGTGATTGGTCAACGCCCGACAGCGCAATATGTCCCAGTCTATGGTCCCAACACATCAGCCGCACACACTCAGAGCTCACAGCTCCTCATATCTGTTCAGAAACTGGACAAAAGTTAAACATGTACAAACCACAGACTGTCTATGTCATGGCGAATACAGTCGCTGCTTTATTTATGTCTGTATCATGACGTTGTTGTGAGTGTGGACGGAGCAGCTACAGGTTAGTTTAGCCTGATGGATCCGATTTCATTCAGAAAACACACATT